ACGACTTATTTGTGACATATTCTATTATCAGTATCAATAAACCACCAAACAGCTGATCAACTGATCAATAACCCAAAGTGACTCATCACTGCCAGTAAGTATTTTCCCGGTGAATATTTGACACAGATCCACTTAAAATATAATAATACGATAATAGAATCAGTAACATGTTATTGCCCCATGAGAAGGTCCTGCGTGCCGCTTTTTGTCATACAATATACAATCACCAATCAAATTTTACCTTCCACAATATAAATAATAAAAGATAAGAAAACGAAAAACCGTGCAGAAGACAGCGAGCTTAATGTTAAAAGCATAATATATAAAGATAATAATAATAATAATAAGATTAATACAGAGTTTAAAACTGCTTACCACTTGCTATATACAGTAATAAAACAACAGACGAGCTATTACAGGATATTTGGTCCCACTTCATATATTCCAGTGTTTCCAGCTCTTCCAGGTCGTTCCAGGTCTTCCACTCTTCCATGTCTTCCAGGGTGTGTGGTTTGGGACTCTATCCGCTCACCCGTCGCCGTTCTGCGAACTTCCTGTTAAACTTCTGCTTTGAGGAGACCGGACGACCGCGCCCTGACCGCGGGACCGCGCACCCACATTTTTTCTCCGACCTCGGCCACGCGCCGCTGACTGCGGCTCTTCACCCACGCGTGCACGCTTTGGACTACGCAGCGTCAACGCGGCGGCGCGCGCCGTCTGCTGCTCCGGACTCGTGAGCTGAAGTTCCGACCGGCGAACGGGCGCTGTTTGCAGCTCGCGCGCCGTAGAGTCCATATGCTACCCGGGAACCGTCCGTCAGTCAGCCGCAGTGGAAAAGGCGGTCGCTTCTCTTGCTGCCTGACTTCCTAAGACACGCGTCAGTCACACACGAACAGCGTTCCCCCATTGGCTGCTGTCATTTGACACCGCTCCACTCGCCGTTCTATATAAACTTAATCCCACACCTCCATCTTTTTCGCGATCCTTGTGCGCCACCCCTGCTCCCCTCCCCGGAAACCTTCAGTCCACCGTCTCCACTTCACCTGCTGAAAATGGCCAAGCCTAGAGTCTTCTATCTTATGTCACCCTCCACACGCGGTTCTTCCATGGCCGCGATTGTATGCAGGTAAAAGCGTGTCTGTGGTGCATTCGTTACCTGAGAGTGTCGTCAGTCGGGTCTTGAGCCTGTAGTCCGCCTAGCCCATCCAGGCGAGCTAACTGCTAGCCGAGCTGGTCACGATTGTCTTTAAATCGGAGCACGTGCAGTGTGGTGTTGGCGTAAGCCAGGCCCGCCGCGCTGCCGAGCCTAACGACCGGCAGTAACCGAACCTCCCGCTGCTCTACCCGTCCCACTGCGGAGTTCCCGTTTTTACCGCCGCGACTATGTGAAAGTGTGAATAATCTCAATCAAACGATCGTTCAGCTGATTCTAATGCACGTCACAGAACGATCAGGGTGAACGATAATAATAAATCCAGTCACGGTAGATGGCAACAAAATGGCCTATGAGCTGTTATGTGTATTACACTATAACATTAGCGTCATATTAAATTCCGTTAAAGTCCGTTAATAGTCCGTTAACCGTCCGTTAAAGCCCCCGTTAACGTCCGTGTCTCAGCCGTATAGAGTCACTCTTCTCCCCGGCAGCAGCTAGCAGTTAAGCCCGCCCCGCGGCACTAACGCGCTGACCTAATGCTAACAGAACGCCTCGCCTGCACACTACAGCGTGCCGCTCGCGCTGTTCTTTGTGCACGTCCCTCGCGCCTTCAGCCGAGCCCCGGGAAAGAAGCTCCTCTACCGTTAATGAGCACCGCCGTCTGCCGCGGCTGCCGTCTCTACGTCCCGTGTTTAATGGCGAAAATACTAAATAGTATTGTCTGCGACGTTAGCCATGTTAGCCACCTCAAGCTAACTGCGCCCCGCGTTCCTGTTCACTTCTGAAATACCACTGGAGGGGGGGGAGAGAGAGAGGGAGGGGGGGAGTAAAAAATGCGGATGTAGGGAGATGGCCGAAGCCGCCATGAACCGTTTGGTTCTTTGTTCAGAGAATAAACGTTATATAATACTCGGTGCGGTAACAATGGCGCCGCTGTCGGTTGTTTATTCCCGCGCGTTTTAACGGCCGCCAACTGCAAGCTAAAGTCTGTTAGCGCGCTAGCTAACGCATCCAGCCATTTTGTGCTCATAATAGAAGCTGTGACCAAATATGGGCGTTCCCGTTACACAGCAGAAGTGTATAAAGGCTTTATGTTCACTGCTGCTGGTTTATGGAGCGACTATAAACCAACACACCGCTAAATTAAACTGTTACAGTAGGTTTCTGTAGACTTGTTCACATTATTTGTCCTAAACTGAACATTAAGTGCAGTCAGTGAGTTTAATGCTCCTGTATAAAGGACCTCAGCTGAGGGCTGATCAATAACATCTGCAAGATCTGTTATGTGAAGTGTCTTTAGTTGAAGCGTTTCTTCATTAAGGATCATATGTTGGGTTTTAGTGTGCAGTCTCCCATAGGCTCCAATAGAGCCTGCTCCAAACAGCATTAGATTATATATATATGTGTGTGTATATATGTGTGTGTGTTGAGTTTCCTCTGCAGTGAACCTGGAGCCGCCCTCGGCTGCAGCAGTCCGCTCTGCTCTTTAATCTGTGGCCTCTGTGCGGTGAGGTAACGGTGATCAGACCTCGCTGCGTCTCCAGCAGACAGCTCTTGAATTATGCAGCTGTGGGTTGTGTTACTGCTGAGCAGGTGAAGGTTTACACTCACTGCTGCTCTGAGATCAGCTGCAGCGCTCACACATGCAGCCCCCCCCCCCCNNTCTGAACATACTTGCCCGGTAGCGTCAGCGCTGTGCAGAGCATGCAGATACTCACTGTGGTGCAATGCTGCATTCCTGTTTCACCGGGCCATAACGCACCACACTGACCACAGAGTAACCTGATGGTGTAACGGCTCAGTCTGCTGTCGGCCTGCACAACGGGTGTTAACTTCATGTGACTGAAGCAGTCTGATGTTTAAACCTTGGAGATGAACATGAAGAGGTAAAGCTGACTGTTGGCTCAATAATGTGGGGTTTTATATTAAAGCAGTGACTTTCTTTGCTGTTGGACTTCAACCAGCGGGAGTAAAGAGCTGCTTCACCTCGTGCAGAGAACAAAGTGCAGTATCTGAACCTCTGCTGGTTCTGGCTCCGGGCCCGATGTTAATTCACTGACAGTATCTGATTTCACAACTCGAACCCTCTCACAGAATCTATCACACTTTGACTCCCGACTCTCTGCTGACTCTGTTTGTCTTCCTGCAGCTCCACGCCGACGTCGTGCCCAAGACGGCCGAGAACTTCCGCGCCCTCTGCACCGGCGAGAAGGGTTTCGGCTACAAGGGCTCCATCTTCCACCGCATCATCCCCCAGTTCATGTGCCAGGTGATCCGTTTGTGCTTCTGTTTCAGGTTGATTTGCTTCTTTTAGATGTTTGTGGCGTTTAAATTCTCTGTAGAAGTAAACATTTATTATTAGTTGCAGAAATTAAACTTTAAGGATTTAACCAACAGTTTCTGTAAACTGCAGATAAATGTATTATGTAATCTATAAAATGTAAAGTGTGAGAAGCTGAAACAAGAAGTCTTTGTATATTCATAGTGCAGCTCGACTGGATTTTTACTGACTTTAAATAAAGTTTAAAATGAGCTCTTACTGTTTTAATGCTGCAGCTGTTACTGACTCACTCCGATCACCTCTCTAAATCTAAAGTACCACACGAAGATGAATTTATCTGCTTTGTTGGAACCAGAGGAGTTGGAGCTGAACTGCAGTCTGCAGAGATCAGAGGAACAGCTCAGAACCAGACCCCCCAGCAGGGAGGCTGTTCCAGAGCCGGTTGGGTCGGTTTGAGCTGTTATTAACGTGTGTTTCTCTGCAGGGAGGTGACTTCACCAACCACAACGGAACCGGTGGAAAGTCCATCTACGGCAACAAGTTCGCCGATGAGAACTTCACCCTGAAGCACACCGGTCCCGGCATCCTGTCCATGGCCAACGCCGGGCCCAACACGAACGGATCCCAGTTCTTCATCTGCACAGAGAAAACGGCGTGGTAAGAGCCCAGTAGAGCGGGAATCAGTGCTCATTCATACAGCCACTAAATACTCAGCGTAACCCTGAGAACGTGAGCGCAGTGTCTGTGGTTAACGGCGTCTGTCCGCCCGCAGGCTCGATGGGAAGCACGTGGTGTTCGGCCAGGTGGTGGAGGGCTTGGACGTGGTGAGGAAGATGGAGGCCACCGGCAGCCAGAGCGGCAAAACCTCGGCCAAGATCGCCATCGCCGACTGCGGGCAGCTCTGAGCTCAGCACTTAACCCTTTCTGCTTGCCCTGTAGCCACGCCCCCTGTAGGCTCCGGCCCCGCCCCCACCCGCCATTCAACATTCCTATTGATGGATTCAACCGACCCCCGACCCCCCCTTTTTTATTCTGTTCTTGTTGAAATCATGTTGCTGCATTTGTGACTTTGCCTTTGAAAGTTTCTTTTGCATTAACGTTTTTTTCCACAAAGTCCCAACGGTTTTTTTGTTAAGTCAAAAAAAGATGAGAAAATAAAACAGAAATGTTGCCTTGACAATTGAAACCTGTGTGTTTATTTTAATCCTGTTCAAGCTGTTCATGGAGGCTGCTGAAGGTGAAGAACATCTGAGGTGACTGTGGTTAAATATGGACAGTGAAACAGTTCATGGTGTCTTTAACTCATAGAAACACCTGTAACTGAAACACCAGGAGGGTCACCACTGCTTCATATCAGTCTGAGCTCTTATTGGAAGGTGTCAGAGGTTAACGTACCACAGTAGTCCTAAATCTAAGAGTCGAGGTTAATTTATTAATGTAAGAACTTATTCATTAAGTTTGTATTTAATATAAAGTTAGAAACTGAACAGAGTACACAGATCAACAGCCTCACCCTGCATCAGAAACCAAAGAACAATGAGGACAAACGGTGAATCTGTCAGAACAGTCTGTTAAAATGATAAAAATACAGACAGAATATTCACTGGAAATAATCAAACTTCCTGCAGTTAATACTGATAAAGGTCTTTATTAGTTAGCAGTTAATACTGATTAAAGTCTTTATTAGTTATTTCAAATTGGGGGTTTAAAGATGGAGCCTCCCTA